AAAACCTGTGGTGTTGGCGATATTGGGACAGTGTTTTTGCATATGGACAAGCAAATGTTTCGTTATCTCGGTTAAATACTATTTGTGTCTTACACATTCTTAACCTAAGCCAAAAAAATAATAATACAAATGATGGACCAAGTAAATAAGGAAAGACCTAAAGCATTTTATTGTTAATAATAAGAAAAAAAAAAAGAATGTATCGCATAGAAATATGATCTATGACGTCAAACAACTGCAGTCATTGAGCCTTCCGCATTAGACAAAAATGTTAAAAATCGCAAGAATAAAAAGAAAAGAAAGAAATCGTACATAACATGACAGGTGCGTTAAAGAATCAGATCTTAATGATCAAAATAATAATACTTTTAAAGTACCGTTTTTAAATTATACAAACCCCTTAATGATGGGAACAAAAGTTATAGTTTCGGATTTACAATTAATAATTTGTAATACAGGCTACAACAAGGCAGCGGAGTTTTTTTGCGACTGCTAATGGCAAATGTCCGCATTGCAAAGCTAATTAAAAATCCAAAATTAGACACTAATTTAAAACTGAAGCCGGGAAACTTACGTTTCATCAACTAAGGGTTCCGCAGTATATCTAAGAACACGAAAATTTTGTGTTTAACGTCACGTTTAATTGTGTAGCTTATATAACTGGAGTTTCCTACATTTCGTTTGCTGAGAAACACTCTTAATATACCACAGCATTGCAAAAAAAGTCCATGGCTTGAATTATTATCCACGTCTTTAATCTCTGAATTTACACAATTTCGCCTATCTTGAAAAATATATTTTCAACGGAATCAATTTAAATCTCCCTTGGAATCTACAGTCTTCTGTCTATTATAAGTTTTTAAGTTTTTTTATTATCTACTACTATTTTTTTTCCAATTTTAAAAAAGTCGTGGCACTCTTTAACATGTTTTGAACAAGTCAGAAAATACATTTTTCAAAATAAGTTTTAAGTGCCATGACTTTAAAAAAAAATGGCTTTTTGCAATCTCCAAGCAAGCTAGGTTTAAGCTCAGAATGGCGTTTTACATACCCGTATATACTTTATATTATAAAGTTATATATTTTTGATTAGCACTACAAAGAGAGTCGATCTAGCCATTTCCGTCTGATCGCCCGCCGTCCGTCCGTTCGTTTCTCCGCATACTAGTATCTCAGTTTTGAAGCTATCTTAGTTGTATTAAAATCGGGCGTCTATATCATTTAGTTCCCATTAGAACAATCATAAAAAAGAACTTAGCTGATTTATCGGCATAAAACTCGAAACAAAGTTTTTATAAAGAATCTTTAAATTTGGCAACAACTGCAACGGTATATAACTTCAGCTATTCAAAGTTTGCTTCCTTTCGAGTTTGTTTTTTTATTTCTAAGTTAATTATTTTAAAATTTATTTGTACCTTAAGATTTCATTTCAAGATGCAATTCACTCACACTCTAATAAGGTGCTCTTAAATAAGGTAATTAAGATATTAGGTTTCCTTATTTTGTTTCGTATTTTTATATTTTTATCACACTACTCATATCATGACCTTGATTATAAATTATTGTTTTAACATTGCGAAATATCCACTCAATTTAAATTCACAGGTGCAACACTTGCGGCCTTTTTTCTCTGAGCACCAGAATATCGCATCACGAAATATGTACGGAAACTGAATATGAAACACCATTTACGTTCACATCGACGTCGTTAGAGAGGATGTAGGAGTGAGAAACCGAAACCGATGCAGGCCAGGCCTGTGAGGTCCTGCAACAAAATACTCCGTGCCGCATTTAGCCAATGAGGGTCCGAAGACAAAGAAAGCACCGCAGAAGACGGAGAACGTATGTATATTAAAGTAAAACAAACCAATAAGATTGAACTTTCCCACGCCAAGGGGCGTTTCCGAAAGAATGCGCTTGCGCTCTTCTGCATTAAAAGCTTGTAAAATGTACCCCGTGTTTACACGAGTACGTAGAGCTATTTGAAATATTTGAACTGTTGAATGTTGCTTTTAATTTAATTAACTTTACCAACAACACAGAGGTATGATAATTGAATTTGTCTTGGCATGCACGAACATGAGTGTTCGCTTAAGTTATTATGCTCTCAAACAGGGTACACACACTTTTTTTTTGCTTTTTACTTTGGTTCTATCAAACATCTATGTATATTTATATAATACATAAATATTTCTCATAACATATTGCTCTTTTTATTCAAGACCCATTTGTTTTGTTCCTGAAATGTACGTTTTAGCAACTAAATTTGTCGGTTAAAATGCTTGTTTTTACTATCTTGCATAAGAGCGGAACATTTAATTATGTTATTGCAATTCCTTAAGAGGGAAAACCCATGAAACATATGTAAATATTCTTAATCAGAATCATCAGTCGGGTCAATCTTTAAAAAAAAAAAAATCATAACATACACCCAGAGAAAAAAATGGTAAATCCCAATATTTTAACTAATTTAAATATTGATTTAGTCCCGAGGGTTGTTGTGCTTAAATCAAAGTGTGTTCCGCTTTCATTTTCATTTTTAAGTATGGAAAAATGTAGTTTTAAATTAAAACAAGAAAGGAAGCAAACTTCAGAAAGCCGAAGTGTATATACCATTGCAGCTATTGCAAAAATTAAATATTTTTGAAAACATTAAAATGGTCATTTACTTGCGTATATGTTTAAAAACAATAAAGCTATGATTTACAGCTCAATTATTCATTTATTTTTATGATTGTTCCAAAGGGAGTTATATGCTATAGTCGTCCGATCCGGTCTCACCTATGTACTACCTGCAATATAAAGACAACATTTGGGAAAGTTTCATGCAGATAGCTTTAAATGTAGAAACGGACGGACAGGCGGAAGGCAAGCTGAAGTTCATATACCCTTGCAGCTATTGCATAAATTAAATATTCTTGAAAACATTTAAACTAAAAGCGTAATTTTAAACTATTAAATTATTACTATGTTGAAAAAATTAAAATAAATAATAAATAAATAAATATAGGTTATGGAGGCTATAAGAAAGGATAGAAACCCCAATTACCTTATAAGAAAAATAGCAAATTTGCAACAAATAGAGGCTCAAAATTCCACAAAAAATGCTTACGTTGCGGCAAGACTAATTACTTTTAAAAGATTTCTTTGCTCTAAAAAGAGGAAAGGAGAAACATGGAAATGGCAAACAGGCGCAAATGACATCCACACAAAGTCAAGAAAATCATAATGGGATCGCATTTATGAGGAGACGCGCAAACAGCCAAACTATCATTGGGTTCTTATTGGATTCTGGCGCATTAGACCATTTGGCCAATAATGAGAATTTGTTTACAACTATCACTGAATTGGATGAAAATAATAAAATTTCTGTTGCCAAGAACGATGAATTCATTTATTTAGTTAAGAAAGGAAGTGTGGCTATACAAAAATTCAAATGAGAAAATTGAGCTTAGAGATGTCTTACACTGTCCTGATATCCCTGAAAACTTAATCTCAGTTAAAAAAAACTACAAAAATAACTAATTGCCATAAAAAAAAATGCAGGAGACATTACAATTGTATTTCACCCATAAGGTGTAAACGTTAGAAAAGGTAAAATAATTGTAATGAATGGAAATATATTTGGAAATGTTCCATTGGTTAATTTCTTTTCTAATAACCTAGCTTGTATTGCAAATGCAACCAAAAATAATAATTATAATTTTTGGCATGAGATATAAGTAAGGAAAAGTTCTTGTAAATTAAAACAAAAAAAATGTTTGACGATACAGCTTTGCTGAATAACATATAACAAGAAAATAAATTATGTGAAGCTTGTGTAAAGGGGAAGCAGGTGAGATTAAGTTTTAATCAATTCTGATGTGTATGGTCCAATTATCCCATCAACTGTTGATCATAAGAAATATTATGTAGTTTTTATTGCTGAGTATCCGCTTTATTGTGTAACATACCTGTTGAGTGATAATCAGAAGTTTTCAGTGTGTTTTAAGACTATTTAGCTAAAACGCATGCTTTGTTTAATTTAAATATGTTTATCCTTTGTATTGATAATGGTAGGGAGCATCTATCGATTTAAATGAAAGAGTTCTGTGTTCAAAAAGGCATTACTTACTACTTGACGGATCCACATACTCCACAACAAAATGGTGTATATGAATGGATAATTATATATCTAACTGATCTATAGGGGAAAAGGTAAAAAATAAAAATAATGTTTGATGACAAATCCTAAAAAGGTATACCTGTCGGGTATGAACAAATGGATATAAAGTATGGGATGTAAAGAATAACACATTTTTTATTGCAAGAGATGTAGTGTTTGATGAATCAAAAAGGGAAGTGCCTAGAGCTGTGGACGTTGAATCAACATGGATTTTTACAATCTTGTAGAAAATATTGAACCTGCATTTTAATCCTGTGGTCTTATTGAGAGTCAAAAGGTCTAGTGAATAGGAAAATAAAGTGGAAAATGCCGATCCAGAGATATCTTGTGTTATATCTGAAGGTGAACCAAGTGACTCTCTAATATTAGAAAGAGCAACAGATTATAAAAAAAGACCAAATAAACATATATGATACGATTACAAATTGTATTTGCATGGGCAAACTTTAACAGGTAGTGCTCCAATATAATAGAAGTGATAAAGAACAAGGGAGAGTGGCTATTGAAGATAAGCTTAATTCTCATGAAATTAACAAAACATACTTGAAGCACGTGGATTTACATAGGAGTACTTACATGGATGGAAAGACTGGTTTTTAAATAGGGATTTAAAAGAGGAAATATATTCCTCAAGGACTGTTTTGTAATAGCTGTCAATTTTGTAAATTGAATAAAACAATTTATGGTCTTAAGCAGGCGGCTAGGTGTTGATTTAAAGTGTTTGAAAACGCTTTGAAAGATATTGGTTTTAAAAATTCACTTTATATATTTTGAAAAAAAGGGAACATTTTAAAAAATGTATATGTTTTCTTATACGTAGATGAAAACCAAGTCATAACTTTCTTTATTTTATTAATTTAATAATTGAATTCAAGTATATAATACTTAAGTTAATATATGGTTGCTTCGGCCTGGCTTATAGTAAGATGTTTAGTTATTAAATCTGAATGTGAGCACTTTTGATAAATTGGTGAATTATCTTTAAGTATGTCAAGGAAGGGGATATGAGGAGAGAGGAAGGGAGTGTGCGGGGGCCAAAAATTGAATTACGGATAGGCCTAAAGTCTGACAGAAGTCCAGCAGGTGCTCTGCAGAAGCGGCAAGAGGGGCGAGCAGATCCTTGTAACAGGTTTGGTGGGCGTATAAAAGTCTGCATTCAAGTCTGCTGAGGCTGGACATGTGGTTTTTTTTGAGCTGCGTTCATTGTTTTGTATTTGTGAACATAGTTTTCCCACCCTGCGAGCTGCTTTCGCTTGGCGTGAAATGGAAGGTGTGAAATGGAAGGTTGGTGGCGTGCTCATGTTGCGAGTTGGAGTTGTTACGTTGGACAACAAGCATTGTTCTCCTGCAAATTGTAGGATCGGGATGTCCGTGCTTTTCCAGAGCAGATATAGTGAAGAGATTGTCGTTGCATGTTGAGTATTTCCCTTTGGCGTTGGCGGCGTTCTGACAGGCTTTGCAAGGTTGCGGAATCCTCAATGGTAAACATAGAGCTAAAGTCGGTTAGGGTGCCTCCTGCGATAATACCGTTTTCGTTGTTGACAACGGCGAATGTAGAAGAAGGTTGAGGTTTTGGATACATCAGTATAAAACCAGTTCCTTGGGCTAGACCCGCTTTTAATGCGTTCAAATTGAGATTGGAAAACTCTTACAGGCGAACGGTTTTTGTCGATCTAAGTACTAGGCTTTAAAAATATCGAAAAAGTCGAATACGCCAACCATTGGTTTATTTCCAGCTCTAACGTGCGGTTAGGAACGTACATTCCACCGTCAAGGAAAAACCGGGAAATTTTTAGTATTGCAAAACCTTACGGACCATCTTTGAAGGAGATGGTGGATGATGCTCTGTGGGACTGGGCCATAACGCTCCCCCACGCTGCATGCTATTATTAAAAAGTCACAACCGTTTCGCTTGGATGTGGTCTGTGAGATTGGGCTATTTATTTGGGACCGACTGGCCATTTCTTGTCGTTACGACTTAGCCAACTCCACCATAGAGATGAAGCAGCAAGTTCTCTTTGGCGTGTTCGCTTTCTGACGTGTACGTGTGGTACGGAGTGCGTAAAGACACAGGCCACCCTGCTAAATCTCCAGTCGGTATAAAACATCAACCTAAAATCAAAATTTTAAAATGTTAAATTTTAAATTATGTAAGTGTACTTAGCCACCAATTAATTACAGTCCTTGCAAATTTCAATTTGCCACCCCTTAACAGAAAGTGTACAATAATCGTAATGGAAAAGCGTAATAACAACGCTAGGGATGGTCGGGAAAAGCAACGTTAATCAACGTTATTGTATCGATTTGTCCCGGTGCCAGTCTTATCGATAGTTTTTGCTTTGATCTGAGATTTTTATTTTCTCTTTGCTAGTAAAAACATCAGAGCCTTTAAAATGTATTTTTGATTTTTATTTTACGTTATGAAAAGCCGAAAATAGTTGACAGACTAATTTTGGCCAGGAAAAATCATTAGAGTCTTACAAATTTAGTTATTTTCTTTATTTATATTTTGATTATTAATTGAATCTCAACTTTCTTGTTAAAATGCTATATATTTGATCTTAATTTTTTTTTGATTTAATCGATTTTTTTTCATTAAAATATCAAAAAGAATCGAAGCACAGAGAATCGATTTGTTCGCAGCTCTAATGACCAGCAGTCCGAACAATCGATAGGTCCCAACTCCCATCTCTATCAAAAATCAAGGACGAGAAATATTTGCACATATAAAATCGAAAACTGGACGAAATTGTTGGCTTTGGTGTTATTGCCACAGCGCACCCACCAAGGATGAGAACAGACGTGCTATGTATGACTAAACAAATTCCATTCTTTGATAAATTTCGCGACCCAATTTAAGAATTACAGGACAACACGCGGCAAATGTTGAATTTTGGATTAAAAATCCAGATTTGTTTTACATTGAATAGAACGGTGAGTATTAACAAAATATGTCCGGGATGACTGCACCAACTTAAAAGTTTACAAAATATTTATTTCAGGATGGAAAACGTGCTTTTGGTCGATGCGGCAAAAGTACGGAAGAAACTGCTACTTCAAAAACCATCAAGAGACCGCAGGGAACCATATGCTCCGGCTGTAGTGCAGCCTTTGGCAAGCGCGATCCGCTTGCAACCGTATGTGGCTGCTGATCCTTGGGCTGCCGCAGGTCGTGGTCGTCACTAACTGCTCCTCCTGATGTCAATGCTGCTGACGCCACTGCTACTGATGCTGCTGTCTTGGCTGATGGCGGAATTTTGAAATTCTTTTGAATATAAAATCTATTTTGCGTAAAAATTACTGAAAACAAGAGCAAGTGCAGCGAATCCTGGTCGCAGGTCTAGAATGCATTACTGCTGGATCTCTGGCAGGAAATAACTCCCACATATGTATATAAGGACTTTGGCTCTTCCTAAGAAATTGTAGTGGTTTCCTTAGAGAACCTGTTAAACAACACCATCACAACAGCAATCTGGCAAATGCCTCGTGTTGCATTTTCAGTTGAAGCCGTCTGGAAAATACTGAAACAAACCGATACGTCAGCAGGTTCCGCTATCGATAAGATTTGGTGGTGACACCGACTATTGATAGCGGGAGAGGATCTAGCTATTTAAATTTAGCACGGTTCGCTCGTTAACTGGGTTAAATGGCCTTGAATACGTTCGCTGACCCATCTTGAGAGAGCGGGAGGGAAAATGGCGAGCGACTTTGGTGTAGGTCAGGGTTTTGCTTTAGTTGCTGCAAGAAGTAGTAGGAGAACGGTCGGAAAAACAACCCAAAATTTAAGTTCGTGATTAGTGTTTGAATAACTCAAAGTGAGTGGTTATTTATTAGTACGGAACTTGTAAATTACAGTGTTTTTTTTATATTGAAGCCGCCGGGGACCCTAACTAAAGGGCCCCGGAAATTTAAAAGATTTGGGAAGTGAACACTTACCAGGCGGACCTAACCTGGTCGTCGTCCACCAGCCGCCGCAGCATTAGCAGCAACAGCATTGGCCTCAGCAGCACTGGCCGCAGCAGCATCAGCAGCAGCAACATCAGCCGCAGCAGCTTTAGCCGCAGCAGCCTCAAGCGCCAGCAGCTACAGCGACTGCCTCCAGGACGGCCAGATACGGAGATTCGCTCGGCGAGTCCGTTCCGGGAACGAATGCCCGCGCTGACCAATTGGCTCCGTGCGGACTCGCGCTGGTTTTCGCCGCTAGCGCTTTTCCATTCGGGCTGCAGTTTCAACCACCTCCGACGTTGAACTCTGCAATAAATAAGTTTTAGTTATTGTTTTGTGATATCATGCAGTCAAGATTGTCAAGTACTTACTGTGAAATCTAATCTAAAATTAGAGGCTCAAGCCCGAACCCTAGCCGCGCGTCCAACTACATCTAAATTGGGTCGCGAAATTTAATAACTTGTGGGATTTGTTTAGCGTACTTACCTTATCAGCACGTCCCTTCTTTTCCCTTGGAGCTCCTCAGGATTAGGCGACCCGGTTGGCTAACGCCTCCAATTTAGTGCCGTGCGGCGACTTTGCCTGACACTTGGAACTTCAAGCGTCTAAAAATTTCCCTTTCGGTTGTTGCCGCTTTGACCGCTTCTCATCTGGGCGACGGTCTGAGATCGGCCTTAAGAGTTTCTAACGAAAAGAAAAGATTATCAGTAGGAATCAATAATGAATGTATTTACTTATTAATCTTGCCAAGAATTAAATGTGAACAAGCTACCGAGATGGTTGTGTGAATTACCTTGGGCGGGGAGATGAGCCGATCCTAATCCACCAGGAATAGACTCCGGTCTGCCGGAGATGGGGTGTGCCTCCCACATCTTTCTTGGGGCACCCAAGGTTGGGTGGGTGCGTCGTGGCAAGGACATCGAAGCCACCAATTTCGTCGAATTGTCTTAGTTTGCTTGATGTACACATAACTTTGTTTTGTTTTGATTTGTGGTAGAGATGGTAAATCGACGTGAGACGTCCGATGAGTCGGAATCGATTGTTCGGACTGCAGGGCATAGGGGGTACTCCGCCCTGGGACTCCGTGGCTAGCCGGCGCTGCCCTCCGGGAAAGATGCAGTTCCGTAACCCTCGATAGCAATATGGATATCCTGCTGCTCATACTCAAGATTTTTAATTCATTTCTATTTGATTTGCGACAATTCAAAAGTAAACAAACCCAGATCAGCTGTTCGTGCCACTCACATGTCGGAGTAGCATTAGCTAAATGCTTATGCGTCTATGGAATCAGGTGCATTTAGAGGTCCACTAATGCGGCAATGGAATCAGGCTATTACTTGTTGGTAATGGCTGAAATATGGTCGAATATCAATGCATACACCCTTAAAATGTACAAACTCATCAAGACAGCATTTACCAGACGGCTAAGTGCCAGAACACAGCGTATTATACAGATTTTTGCACAAAATATGTAAGTAAAGTCCTTTCTATAAGTTAGTCGTCGGCACGGCTCCTATAGGCGAAGGTTTTACCAGCATAGCAGTAGGAGAACGGTGTCAGAGGCCGACACTAACATTATAATAGCCAAGGTTTAGCCCAGTTGCACTCACGTACGTCGCCTATCGATAAAGCAGAATAGTCTGTTACATTGCGTCTAAACAGCTGTTCTTTGTTTTGATTTGTCAAGGCTTTTTCTTTACCGGCTATTTTTGTTATTGTTTTTGGTCGTTAGTGGTGCCAAATATCGAGTAAATATCTAGTAAGCATCGAGAAAATAAAAATTTTGGACAAACTTTTAAAAATCTGCAATTGACCATTAAACTGACTTTTTATGGAGCACACCAGTCTGTTAGCGCACTGTTAATTTAATTTTTTTTTATCATAGCGGGTTAAATGTCGGCTAATGTTTTCAATGCTGGTTATTCTTTTGGTTTATGTCATGGCTAACATTTATTAACTTGGTTTTTGAACGATGTGGACTCTTGTTTCCCTTGATGCCTTCACAATTAAGTGGAGACTTAAACCGATCAGGGGTGGAAACTAAGAGAGCTTTTTCAGTATTACCGTAATATAATGTAATGTAATCACCATAGCATGTTGTATGTATGGACTAAAATGTGTGCTGTCTTGGCTTATGCAATGGCTAACATTTATTAACTCGATTTTTGAAACGATGTTGGACTTTTGTTTCCAATCAGAAATAAAATGCCAATACAATAAGGTAAAGACTTTAGCCGAGCAGGCCTGGATACTAGATTTATTTTCTTATAATGCAGTGGTCGGCACACATACTATTACATGCTCGCTCTTCCTTGCACGGCGAAGTGCATTACATTACATTAAAGTGTTTTTCCCCTGAGAAATAATAAAAGGTAATACAGGGTAAAGTAAGGTATAACATTTGCTCTTCCTTGCACGGCGAAGTGCATTACATTACATTAAAGTGTTTTTCCCCTGAGAAATAATAAAAGGTAATACAGGGTAAAGTAAGGTATAACATTTACTAATTTTTTTTATGATCACTTTTAAAGGATGTAACTGTTACCAAAACAATAAAGTTATAAAGCTTTATATGTTTATAAGGTCAATATCTATTGACTTTTTCAAAAACTATTTTAAAAGCTATTAGCATAAAAGTAAATTTCCGGCAGATGGCCGTAATATTTTTTGGGTGGTATGAGGTGTTCTAGCTGGCAGTATCTCGACAGATGGCGCCACATAAAACTAAGTTGTTTTCTGGGCAAATATTTATTTTAAAACTCATAAGTTTGGTAGTTCGATCATTTCATTAATATTTGGCACAAGTTCGTAAGAATTGGTAAATTCGAAGATTTCATACAGGAGATAATTTATTGTTACCTGTTAATTAAAGTCTCTGTTACTCCAAGTGGCAGATGGAAGTTATAAAAGTTCAACTGTGTATTATTTAAAACGCAACCAGTTTTCACTTCCGAAAACGGAAGATGCACACGGCATCTAAATTCCCTCTGTTAATTCTCTGTTAACTTCCGTAAAAATCTCACGGAATCTTTCCGCCAAGCAATTGGCTGGCGGATTAAATTCCGCAAGCAAAGAAATTAATTGACTCTTTAGTTGCTTAAAAACATTATTGCTTTTCAAATTTAGTTTATAAAAACATATTTGAACTATTACAAATTATTCTGTGTTTGCGTCTCAGAATCGGTTTGATTCTAGACTTCGGCATTTTAGCAATTCCGCCGCCCCTGTTCTAATTTCCAAACGAATTGAAGGGAAGGCTGCAAGGGTTGTCATTGTCCGAAAAAAACTAGTTCTTTTTTGGGACGCCTTTTTGTCTTCGTTATAGGTATTTATTCAAAATTACGCGGCATAAAAGCATTTGAAAATTTGCATTTGTGGCCGTTAATGACAGTTCCTTCGATTTTATGCGTTTAACAAGCATATTACTATTTTTTTCATTAGCTGAGGGAGACCAGCGGGCCAAAATTTGCCAGAGGCAATTAAACTCTTACAAATCAAACGCCAGCTGCCAGTCAGCTGATTTTGCTTGGGAACAAAAGGGACCAAAAGAAGGGAAATTTACCTATGTTAAAGGGGACTCCGAAAATGTTATCAATTTCATTTCCGACTGAAAACTGGAACTGGTCTTATTGCCAGAAATTTGTATTAAGATTATTAAGTATTATGGTTTTTACTACAATGAATATATTAAAACATAATCTTTAAATTGACGCAAATAAAGTTTTGGGAAATCAAAAATGTTAACCAAAAAAAAAAAACAAGAAAGAAAGCAAACTTCGGCAAGCCGAAGTTCATATACCCTTGCAGCTATCGCAAGAATTAAATATTTTTGAAAACATTAAAATTATGATTTACTTGCGAATATGTTTAAAAACATTGAAGCTATGACGATTTGCAGCTTAATTATTTGATTGTTCTTTTATATATTTTTATTATTTGTATGGGAGCTATATGATATAGTCGTCCGATTTTGATGAAATTTAAACCATAATTCTGAAATATTTAACCATTGCTGTATGTCGAAGAACTAAAAAAAAAATTAAAAAACAGCAAAGTTATAATTTTTTTTCAATTATTTTTCCGATTGTTAATATGGGAGCTATATGCTACAGTCGTCCGATTTTGATGAAATTTTAACCATAATTCTGAAATATTTAACCATTACAGTATGTCGAAGAACTAAACAAAAAATTAAAAAACAGCAAAGTTACAATTTTTTTTCAATTATTTTTCCGATTGTTCCTATGGGAGCTATATGCTATAGTCGTCCGATTTTGATGAAATTTTAACCATAATTCTGAAATATTGAACCATTACAGTATGTCGAAGAACTAAACAAAAAATTAAAAAACAGCAAAGTTATAATATTTTTTCAATTATTTTTCCGATTGTTCCTATGGGAACTATATGCTATAGTCGTCCGATCCGGCTCGTTCCGACTTATATACTACCTGCAATAGAAAGACAACTTTTGGGAAAGTTTCATG